CCCGGAGCCGTGGACCCTAAACACGGTTTCTACACGCCAAAGAAAATGCTCCTTCCCTCCCGACATACCCTCTTTCTGCTGCCTTCCTCCTGTGGAAAAGAAAAGAGGACCGAGCCTTCAGGTCTTCATACGGAGTTTTTCAAAGCTTGTGAAAACAGGAAAAAAGGGTGGACCCTTCTTACCAGGGATGTGGGGTTGGATGGGACGCTGGGCACGGTTCTCAGCACGTGCTGCTCTCCATGAATAGATTGGAGCACTGTTTTCCCTTAATAATGAAAAAAAAGGGGGATCTTGGGTTGGGAAAAGGAGAGAAGGGACGAGGGTGATAGTAAAAAGGAATTCTGCACAATTCTGGAGAATCAGTGAAAAAAAATCCCTACTTAGGGGCTCGTTAGACACTTCTTGGGCATGTAAAATCTACAAGGACATGATCGTTCCACCTATCCTCGGGGAAGAAATTTGGAAAAAAATGCGAAGACATTTCCTCGAGGAATCCTTGTAGCATCCTTGTGGACCATCCATTTTCTTGCCGCAGTGCAAGGGACCTCACAAGGTCCCTCGGAGGTCGAGGATCCACGATAATCGGAGCGGCAAAGGCACGCGTGGTCAGTAGCTTTTTTATTTTCAGCTGGTCCATCGGTGATCCGCCAGCGGGTGCACAGACATCTTTCCTCGCCGACGTTTGGCCGTGGTGCAACGGGTCTCCAACGGCTGCTGTTGGAGGACGGTCGTCGTCGGGGTTCCTCTTCAATTGGGGCTGATGTCACAGTGCTTCGCTGGGGTTTTTCGCCAACGTCGGCAGGGTCCAACGGTCGGGAAAATTGAATATTTTGCCCGGCCAGACTCCCGCATCCCCACCCATGTCGGCGATGGATAACGTTATGGTGCATCTTTCGTATGCTGTCCTCTTCCATTTGCCCCCTTCAGCGTCACTGTTTGGTGGACCTCCACCGTCGTCGTCGAGTTACGGCTCTGTCATACGTGTCGTTGATGGCCGACCTCTATTGCAGGCTGCCAGTGGTGCTCCTAGTCGCGATTTTGCTTGTCGTCGTCCTCCTGTTCCACGTGTGCATCATCGGCAAGGTGCATGGGTGTACACATAGGAGGCAGTCAGCGAAGAAGGGCGTCGAGAAGGATGAACGGCAGCCGAAAAGCAGGGCGTTGTTCCGAGTCCCCCAGCGCTCCCCACGCGCAGCACACCCTTGGTCGAAGGTCATCGCAGTACGACCCGTCTGCGTACGCGCACACTTACCCTCACACAAAATTCCGCTGCCGCCGCCGGACGGCGAGGTGGAGGAGGTAGGTTCTCGGACCGTCGCAGTCGGGAGCGGATCAACGCAGGATTGGGTGGGGATCCGGTTGTTTGAAAGTCGGCCAACGGCGTCTCGACAATCGTACACACAACTGCTCGAGGAAGGTATACACGAGGAAGACGCACATGCTGGCGTCAATCTGTCGTTCGTTCACACTGTGTAGCGGGAGCTCAGCGCCGGCGACACATACGTGCATCATCAATCCTCACCCTGATGTTGATTGGGGTCAAGTGACG